AAGCCGCGGAGTGAGGAAACTCCTCCAGCACCCCCTGTGCCTGAGGTCTTGCCTGTCACAGAGCAGGCAGAGCCCACCCCTGTTGGGATGCCACCCTCGCCGAGAGCCACAGAGGTGCCCAAGCGAGAGGTAGGGGCTGCTGGTGAGGAGGGAGAGGATGTGGTGAGCAGGTTGTGCCACACAGAGGAGCCCTTCCTCCGTCCACGAGCGCTGGGCAAAAAAATTAGAGCTGGAGTCTCCCGCTCCTGATGCAGGCCAGGACATGGACTTGCTGGTACCATCCCCTGCAGGGGAGTTCCTTGATGAACCCCTCCAGGACGCCTCCACTGTTCTTGAAGGACTGGATGTTTCGGGGGATGGCATAGGGGAGCTGGAGGAGAGCATTGCCACCACCTCTGCTGTTGTGCTGAGCTCCTGCCCAGGCATCCAGATCGACCCAGCAGTTGAGAAGGAAGAAGAAGCATCAGTTGTCCCTAAGAAGTCCTCCTCACAGAGGCCCTCCAGCTTGGGGAAAGATCTGGGGGCAGCAGAAGGCCCATCACAAAGCTCTCCAGACCCTGGGCAGGCTTTGTCCCTGCTCTCTTCTTCCCCAATGGCCTCCATCAGCACCTTCAGCTTTGAGCCCCTCAGCAGCCCTGATGGGCCAGTGGTCATCCAGAACCTGCGGATAACTGGGACCATCACTGCCAGAGAGCACAGTGGGACTGGTTTCCACCCCTACACCCTCTATACTGTCAAGGTAAAGGCCCTCCCAAAACTCATCCCTTATCCAAGCTCCCTATCCTGGCAGGGAAGCATGGAATGGTGCTTGGGAGAGAGGATTTGCTTTGTGTGTGGCTCAACAGCAGATTTTGGCAGTGGGCAAGTACTGGTCAGTGGTTAGTGGCTGTTTGGGTGTGGGATGGGGTCCTGCCAAGGGTTCCGTGGGGCTGGTTGGGTCCTTGATGCCCATCACGAGGGGTTCATGTGCTCTGAAGCTTGATGCCCTTCACATAGGGGTCCATGTGACGCACTGCTGAGGACCTCTGCGGGGTCGAGGGCTTGCAGGAGGGTTGTTTAGGGCTCTGTAAGGATCATTCTGTTGCTTTTCCTCCTCAGTACGAGACAGCCCTGGAGAGCGAGAGCGCGAGCGCGAGCAGCCTCCAGCAAGTGGCTTATCACACCGTGAACCGCCGCTACCGCGAGTTCCTCAACCTCCAGACAAGGCTGGAGGAGAAGCCGGAGCTCCGCAAGCTCCTCAAAAGTCAGTGTCTGCATCTTCCTCTCAGCCCAGCCCTCCTACTCTGAGGGTATCCCACATGTGGTGCCCACGTCCTCCATAGAACCACAGAGTGGGTTGGGGTGGAAAGGACCTGAAAGCTCATCCAGCTCCAGCCCCACCATGGACCCTCCATGTCCTTCTGATGTTGAGGCAACACTTGGTTTTGCACCTTAACAGTGATAGGGAATACTGGTGTCTTCTTTGTATGCAAGAAAGTAGAGTAATATGAGCTTTTTCACAAAGAAAAGAGTGTTTTCTAGTGCTGTTTATGTAGAAAGCTTCACTGAGCTCAGCAGGTTCCTACCTAACCCTCTGCTTCTGGTAGATCTGAGGGTTTGGCTGGAAAATTGCTTTGCAGAGGGATTTTTGGGCTCTGAGTGCTGTAGAGTCCTTGTGCTAAACTGGTGTTTGTGCTGCCTTTTAACTTTAAAGGTGAGTGATGCAAAATCCAGCAGAACACAAGTTCTCTATGGATTTAAGGCCTGATTTGGCTGCCCTGGTTTGAGGGGCATGTAGATCATCTTGGGCTACACACACATGCAAGGCAGTGTGTAGTGTTAGCCTCAGCCATCAGAGCACTAAGGTTTTAATACAGCTGTTGCTGATGGGTTTCCTTCCTTTGTAGATATTAAAGGCCCAAAGAAATTGTTCCCTGATCTCCCATTTGGAAACATGGACAGTGATAAAGTGGAAGCCAGGAAAAGTCTGCTGGAATCTTTCTTAAAGGTGAGATACTTGTTGTGTGCCCTTGTGAACTAGAAAGCAGAGCCTGGGACAGCTCTAGAATGAGTGGAGCACATCAGATCTCTTCCCAGCTTGCTCATGTATGGTGTAGGTGGAAGTTGACTCCAGAAAGACCTAAAGCTCCATCTTTCCTCGCAGCAATTGTGTGCAGTGCCTGAGATTGCCAACAGTGAGGAGGTGCAGGAGTTCCTGGCCCTGAACACTGATGCCAGGATTGCCTTTGTCAAGAAGCCTTTTGTTGTCTCCAGGATAGACAAGGTAGACAAATGGGAACTGGAGCGCTTAAACCTGCACCTAGACATGTGTCTTAGGCTGCAGTGTCTGTATGTGGATGCTGCAGGAGTAGCCAAAAAGGCCTGAATGCTCTGTGTCGTTGGGCTCAGCTTGCCAGCAAAGCCATAAAGCTCCAAAGAAACTGGGGTTTTTAATAGAAAGAAGAGCTCAAGCTTCACAACTCTTAATTCTTCAGAAATAAGAATAACTGAGAGCACTTCTGGCTCTTGCAGATCGTTGTCAATGCCATTGTGGACACCCTGAAGACAGCATTCCCCAGGTCAGAGCCCCAGAGCCCCACAGAGGATCTCAGTGAGTCTGAAGTGGATGGGAAACCTCAGACAGATGGGAAGAAGGGCAACAAGTAAGAGCTCCTTTCAGCTTCTCTGTGCTTTGTGCAGAGCAGGGACTTCATACATACACTGACTCCATTGTGGGAAGCACTGACTTGGTGCTTTACATGTTGTGGATAGTATGTTGCTGTCATGCTCCAGCTGAATTCCTTTCATGTGCTGAGTGAGGGTAGCTGAGTTCTTGTTTTGACTAAAGGAGTCTCCAGCAGCACTGAGGCTTTCACAGAAGGTGAGATTCCTCCTGAGGGAGCACTGAGGAGGTGACAAGGACATTGGTGCTCCTGGAGAACTGCTTTTTCACCCTAAACCTGTAGAATGTGGTGAGGCACTGCACAAGGTACTGGAGGTTTACTTCTGCCTTGCTCAGCACACCTTGGAGTACTTCTTCAGGAGCAGAGTTTAAGGTTGAGCATCTCTGTTGCCCACCAAGTGTGCATTTGGTGGTGCTGGCAGTGACAAGCCCCATTGGTGGTGCTGGCAGTGACAATCAGTGATTGTTCCCTTGCAGATGGAGGAGGGAAGGTTGCTCCATGAGCATGGCTTTGTTCTGGGAAATGGATGTTTCACTAGAAAAAGCTGCTCTGGACAAAAAGACACATCAAAAAAAGTCCAAATTTTGAAGCATTTTGGCTGACAAAGACATTCCTGAATGATAAACAGGCTGTTTTACAGTCTATCCCCCAATCCCAAATGCCTTTTCATAGCCTTCTTCATGTGTGTGTGTTTATTATTGGATTGCACAATCCTGCTGAGGCTGTTTCATCTCAGAGGCTTTTGTGAGCACTGTCCCTGTGGCTGCTGCAGTGCTCACACCTCACTGAAGAGAGATGCAGCATGGAAGCTTACACATAACACAAGGTGGCTGTTGTAAAGCCTTGCCAGGGCCTTGTGTAGCTGAGGAAAAGGGCTTTAGTGCTTTTATTTCATGGTTTTATTGCTGGCTTTTAGTTATCCTGGGGGAAGATGCTATTTTGAACCACTCTGGGCCTAATCAGACTTCTTAGCTTGGATGTGACATGGGATAAGGATAAGTGGTCCCAGGTCTTGGTGGGGAACTCATCACTTGCAGCTTGTGGAGACAAACCCTGACTGTGCTGTGTCTCTCCAGGTCCAGGCTGAGGTTCTCCTCCAGTAAAATTGCTCCAGTGCTGAGTGTGAGTGAAGCACAGGACAGGATCGTGTACTCCATCAGGGAGGGCAGCTCTGTAAGTTGACATCCCTCTTGGAAGTCTTTCCATGATCATAATCATTGCCCTGCTTGGGTGCTGGCTTGGAATAACCCATGTGCATGGGGGCTGTGGCTGCTGCAGCCCTGTTCCTACGTGCCAGGCTGTTGCAGAAAGGCACTAAGCAGCCATGGTTGTGCTGTTGGCTACAACAAGGTGTAAACCAGATGGTGGGAGGCTGTTTGGGCAGTGGAGACCATGTGTATCTGTTCAGCTCTGGCTGTGGCACTAATACAGTGGTGTTTTGCAGGTCTCTGGCACCCTGTCCCTGGCTGCTATGGACTCCTTCATCCAGAAGCAGGAGAAGCTGCTGGAGGCAGGCCCCAGGAAAGGCCCTGAAGGCGAGGGAGGCAGAAAAGCAAAGGAGAGCTCCATACAGGATGAGAAAGATGGGACGGGCACATTGGAGCAGGGGCAACATCCTGACACAGGCTCTGGTGAGCTCAGCCCCTCTGTTAGTGCTTTACGTATGCCCTGTGATGATTGCTCTGCTCTTTGTTACTCCTAGTGGAAGCAAATGGGGTCTTGGCTTAGTTGTGTCACTGCAGAGCTTCACTTCAGGAGTACTTGGTAGGGTTGGTGCAGAACTAAGTTACTTAAGGACACGCTGCTTAAAGTGCCAATGTTAAATGAAGCTCTTGGAAACTGCAGAATGGCCAAATTAGGGTGTCTTAGTCTCAAGTTAACCTTAATATGTCCAGGCAGTATAAAAGGGCCTTTTGAGATGCAGTTGAGTGTGGCTGGATTTGGTACACAATCCCAGTTCAAGGCATGTGCTTATAGATCCTTCCCCTGGGGCACAGGGGTGTTTTGGCCCCTCAGAGCAGTTACAAGGTCATCCTGACCATGAGCAAAGCCATGTTCTTTAAGCTGTTTCTTGGAACAGCTGAGCTTTATCAGCTGGAACTTCCTAAAACTTCCTTCCAGTGCTTCAGGCTTGGCGAGCTCTGAGCTGCAGCCATGTGCCTGTGACACTATGGGTCTGGTATTCAAAGACCAGCTTGTGTTTGAACACAACCCCATGGTTGGTGTGGGGCTGCTGGGGAGCAGGACTGGAATGGGAGGCCAGTGCCACAGGGATCCAGGGAGGCCAAGTTAGCTGAGCTCTGAAGGCCTGAGATGCTTCCCAGCTGAGCCAGGGCAGGCTGCTAAGTGCACTTACACCTTGTTTATCCAAGTGCAATGGCCTGGAGTTAGTCCAGCAGGGAGAGGAAGAGGTGCTGGGGTCTAGAATCCTTCCATTTACCTCCAGCAGTAGGTAACAGTCTCCTTGGTGCTCTGGAGGCAGAGTGGAGGGGTCAGAGCAGGGGAAGCTGCTACACAGGAGCTGGCAGAGCCAAAGCAGTAGCCTCAGGTTGAGATGCTGCCCTAGGAGTGGTTGTCTCAGTCATGTTTCTGGTACATGAGCTTGTTCAGGATAACACTTTGGGGCCAAGCAAGTCAAAACAGTGGGCTCTGACACCCTCCTGAGGATCACAAAGAGGTTTTGCTGTCCCAGATGTGTGTCACCAGGCTTATGTGTGGGTTTGGTTCTACCTGATGTATTTGGTGTATCCAGGTGGGGTTCATCCATCTTCCCGCTGAGACTTGGATCAGCCACACGATGGCAGCGTGAGGACACCAACCGGAGCCTTGAGCTGGGGAAAGAACACGTTCAAAGAGGGGAAAGTGGTGAAGAGGAGGAAGAGAGCCCTCAGCAAAGGGCCTTTCTCCTGGCTACAGTCACTGCCTTAAGGCTCTCCTGCTTTGGGCCTGTTGCCGTCCCCCTGTGTGGACTGGGGCTTGAGAATCCCTTGTCTTGACTGAGAAGGAACTTGGAGCAGCCACGTGCTGGGTCACTGCCTTATGTCTCCCCTGCTTTGGGCCTGTTGCTATCCCTCTGTGTGGACTGGGGCTTGAGAATCCTTTGTCTTAACTGAGAAGGAACTTGGAGCAGCCACGTGCTGCTCTGGTGCACCCCTTGGTTGGGAGGTTGGGGTTGTTTGGATGACATGGAAATGAAAGAGTGACCAGGGCAGGTCTCTACGGTGGCTGTGTCACAGCAGGTCAGCTGCATGGCACAAGGTGCAAGGCAGGGGAGGAGAAATGAGTTTTGGATGAGGTTTTGCACCAGGTTTCCTTTCATCTGCCCCTCCTCTTCCTTCTGGCAGACTCGGAGACAGCTTTGGCTGACCTGGCCCTGGATGTGCTTCGCCTGCTGCTGATGGATCACTGGAGCTGGCTGTGCACAGAGAACATCCAGAAGGTCTTTCACCTGCTCTTTGGGACCCTCATTCAAAGGTAAGGCCTCAGCACCTGGCCTCACAGCTCTGGGAGGTGGCATTTGGGGCTGCAGTCTTCAATGGCACTCGTGTGCACATAAATGCTTCCTGCCACATCAAACAAGGTGTATGTACAGTGAATGCCTTGGAGCTTTGCACTGGGAGCTCTTTCCCCCATGAGCAGCACTGGAACTCTAGCAGGTAGCCTCTTGTCCTTACCAGGGGAAAGGAAGGATCCAGCCCTGGGAATGGGAAGCTCCAGGGAGAAGCTGCCTTCTTGGTCTTTACACTGCTCAGGGGCTCAGCTTGTTCCTTGGACAAAAGGAGAAGAAACATGCCCAGGGAACAGCAACATGTCAAGTAACACCTCAGTGTGGCCTCCTGGGGCCTTTGTCACTGCTGCAGCCCACTCTGATCCATGGTGGGCCAGTTGTGCTGTGCCTTGGGCAATGACCCACAGATGTAGTAAGGAAAGACTTCCTTTCCAGATGGACTGGACTTGCCAAGCTGTTCTGGGGCCAATGCCTCTGTGTGGCCAAGGCACAAGGCCAAGACACACAAACAGAGCATTTCTGTGTTCTTGTGTAGCTTAGGGACTATCACTAGCTGAGGGAATGGTCCTTTAGAGTACAAGGACAGACTTCCTGGTAGGATTGGGGCTGGGGGAGTCTCAGCACTGCTTTTCCCACTCTTCTGCCCCCTTTATTCCTTCACAGGCATTCCAAGCAGGGTCAGAATGTGCAGGGCAGCACATTAGAACAGAGCTGGTAACATAAGCTCCTCTCAGCAGAGGTTGCCAAAGTGCTTTGAGGCTGCTTGGCCATCACTCCTGAGTCTGTTTCTTGGGTGGGTGTTGCTCCCATTGCTCCTAAATGGGCTCTGGTCTCTTGAGGAATGAGCTGGAACCCAATCCCTGTGTGTAAGCAGCGAGAGCTTGAGCAGGCACATCATCACCTCCTAATATGCTGTGTCCTTGTCACACAGGGAGTCTGCAGCAGTGACACGTGGCATTGGTATTTTCCACTAGAGAACTGTCACACACAGCACATGGAAGGTGGAGGAGCTCAAGTGCTGGTGGAGCAGGGAATGTGTTTGTAGCTGCTCTGCTTCAGTGGCCCTGCGTGAAGCCACGTGTGCTATAGGCAAACAGTTGGCTGGAGGTGATGCTGGGATGCTCTAAGACTCCTTAGTGCTGTGACCAGGGTACAGATGTGACCTTCAGAACCAACCCTGTGGCCCTGGGACTGGATGTGTCACCTTGAAATCCAGCTGCTTTGCTGGCTTGCTCTTGCACCCTGTCCCTGGACCACACAGAGGGTGGCTGAGGCTTCTTGTCTCTGTCCTGAGTAGCTTAAGAGGTCTCTAGCTCAGAGCTGCTTCCAATCCAGGGTCATAGCATGGGTTTGGTGGCATTTCTCTTCCATTTAAGTGTTTACGACATGATTATTGCTTGGCCAGACCTGGCACAGCCCTGCTGTTCTGTCTGCTGCTGCATCTGGGTACCCTTAGAGGTGGAGAACCCCCCAGAAGCTGTTGCGGGAGCATGTGCTGCTCAAGGCAGTGATGCTCCTGCCTCTTAGAAGTGGTAGTCAAACACGGGGTAGCAGATGGGCACTCATCCTGTCTCTGCAGTTGCTGGTCACAAAGTATGAGTAGGCATCATCCCTTCAGGAGATGAAATTCCTTGTTCCTGCCAGTAGGCATCATCCTTCGGGAGCTGAGGTCCTCTGTTCCTGTCAGTGGCTGAGGTAGGTGGTGGCAAGGAGGTGTCCTAGCAGTGGTTTGGGTGTTAGGAAGGGGTTACCCTGTTCTATCCACCATTCCCTGCATGGAGCATCCAACCACACTCCTCTTTTTTTTCCCCCCTCTTCTCTGTAGCTGAAACCACTGGAGCCAGAAGCCATCAGTCTCCTGTCACAGAGGAAGGTGGTTGTATGCCTGAAAATGGGGTTGTTCAGTAAAAGGGAGGCCCTGTGTGTGAACCCACATCCCTGTGGAGCTCATCCCATTATGTAACTGGGAATGATCCTTTCCTGGAGCCAGAAGGAGAGGTTGGGTCCATGCCTGCGAAACGACTGCCCTGCTCCAGCTCTCTCCCCTCCCACAGGCTGGAAATACAGGGCTCTTTCAGCAGGAGGCCGCCACCGCAGGAGGCTGCAGCAGTGACCTGTTGGCACAGGGGAGGAGATGGGGTTATTCTGGGCTCTGAGGGTGGTTGGTGGAGCAGCTAAAAAGCATTTGGAGTATCTGTGAGCTGTTTAGAGCCTTGTGACTCAAAGGGCTGTTAAAATACTTCTCCTCCTGGAGGGCAGCCCCAGCAGAGCGCCAGGGTCCTGGGGCTGGACCTGAGAGGAGTGTTTCAAGTGCACATCCAGGGCTGTGTGCTGTTCCTAGCTCCTTCCCGTGCATCCCAACAGGCAGCTGTGGCACTGAAACCATGGAGCAGAGGGAATGTGTCTCAGCACAGCCCAGATGTCTGCAGCCTGGATGCTGAGTGGAGCTGGGGCACAGAGCCTGTGTTGGGAGCACATGGATCTGCACAGGCAGCTTGGGTGGTATCATATTCCATGATATTCAAAATCCATACCATATTCCATCATATTCAAAATCCATACAAATCCTCCCTCCTTTACCCAGGAGCTCAGCACCACTTGGCTTGTGTTTGGCTTTGGGTCACGCTGGTGCTCCTTTGTCCCCTGTCCCATCATTCCCTGCCAAAGCACGTGGATTTAGGGAGGAGATGTTCCATCTGATTCCAGATGGAGAAGAAGGCAAGCCTT